ACTAAAGTACATAAGTCAGAGTATAAACCTGTGCTAAGTTGGAGTTATGTAGTTAATTGTGTGTCATCTGCAAAGAGGACTAAAGTAAGTCAGAGTAGAGTTGGAGTTATGTGGTTAATTGTGTGTCATCTGCAAAGAGGACTAAAGTAAGTCAGAGTAGAGTTGGAGTTATGTGGTTAATTGTGTGTCATCTGCAAAGAGGACTAATGTACATAAGTCAGAGAATAAACCTGTGCTAAGTTGGAGTTATGTGGTTAATTGTGTGTCATCTGCAAAGAGGACTAAAGTAAGTAAGTCAGAGTAGAGTTGGAGTTATGTGGTTAATTGTGTGTCATCTGCAAAGAGGACTAAAGTAAGTCAGAGTAGAGTTGGAGTTATGTGGTTAATTGTGTGTCATCTGCAAAGAGGACTAAAGTAAGTAAGTCAGAGTAGAGTTGGAATTGTGTGGTTAATTGTGTGCCGTCTGCAAAGAGGACTAAAGTAAGTAAGTCATAATATAAACCTGTGCTAAGTTGGAGTTATGTAGCTAATTGTGTGTCATGTGCAAAGAGGACTAAAGTACGTAAGTCAAAGTATAAACCTGTGCTAAGTTGGAGTTGTGTGGTTAATTGTGTGTCATCTGCAAAGAGGACTAAAGTACGTAAGACAGAGTATAGACCTGTGCTAAGTTGGAGTTACATAGCTAATTGTGTGTCATGTGCAAAGAGGACTAAAGTACGTAAGTCAGAGTATAAACCTGTGCTAAGTTGGAGTTCTGTGGTTAATTGTGTGTCATCTGCAAAGAGGACTAAAGTAAGTAAGTCAGAGTAGAGTTGGAGTTATGTGGTTAATTGTGTGTCATCTGCAAAGAGGACTAATGTACATAAGTCAGAGTATAAACCTGTCCTAAGTTGGAGTTCTGTGGTTAATTGTGTGTCATCTGCAAAGAGGACTAAAGTACGTAAGTCAGAATATAAACCTGTGTTAAGTTGGAGTTCTGTGGTTAATTGTGTGTCATCTGCAGAGAGGACTAACGTAAGTAAGTCATAGTATAAACCTGTGCTAAGTTGGAGTTCTGTGGTTAATTGTGTGTCATCCGCAAAGAGGACTAACGTAAGTAAGTCAGAGTATAAACCTGTGCTAAGTTGGAGTTCTGTGGTTAATTGTGTGTCATCCGCAAAGAGGACTAAAGTAAGTAAGTCAGAGTATAAACCTGTGCTAAGTTGGAGTTCTGTGGTTAATTGTGTGTCATCTGCAAAGAGGACTAAAGTAAGTTGTGTGTCATAAAGAAAGACAGGCATTCCAGAGGATTGCTCTGTTGTCACTTCTTTGGGGAGTACATTGTTTTTATCTAATGTGGTCTCCCATCCAAGTCGTACATACTGTTGTTGTTGTATTGTCAAAAGCTTTCATGGCCAGAATGAATCGTTTTCCCCTGACATTAAGTCCACTCGTGTCCAACTCTGGAGGTTGGTGCTCATCTCCATTTCTAAGCCAAAGAGCCAGCATTATCCATAGACACCTCTGAGATCGTGTGGCCAGCATGACAGCATGGAGCACCCTTACCTTCCCACCGGAGCAGTACCTATTGATCTACTCACATTGGCATGTTTTCGAACTACTAGGTTGGGAGAAGCTGGGGCTAACAGCGGGAGCTCACCCAGCTCCCCAGATTCAAACCTGCGACCTTTTGGTCAGTAAATTCAGCAGCTCGGTGGTGTAACCCGCTGCACCACTGAGGGCTCTGGAGAAGAGGGTATGAAATAGATATTGTTGTTGGTGGTGTTATTGTATTGTCGAAAGCTTCCACAACTAGAATCTGTTGTTGTTGTTATTGTATTGTCAAAAGATCCACAACCGGAATCACTGGGACAAAACGTCAGGAGAAAATGGTGCCAGAATATGGCCATACCTCCCAGAAACCACACAATGCCCCATTATTATTATTATTATTATTATTATTATTATTATTATTATTATTATTATGCAATACACAACAAGATTAGTACACAGCAAACAAGATCACTATGTTGGATGTTGTATTCGATCCCACATCAGACCCTTATCGGCAAATAATGCATACAGATCTGAGCAGGGTGGCCTTTTTGCTGAGAAATACTGATTTTGTCAGATTGTTTTTAAGTGCAGGCCAAGGTCTTGAGGCACTGCACCCAGTGTGCCAATCACCACTGGGACCCCATTGATTTTGTAAGGGTTTGCTTAAGCAAAGAAGACCCAGAAGTTTTTCTGCCGGACTCTGAAACAGACTGGGATTCGTTCTCCCATCCACGTCCTAACCGGGCCAGACCCTGCTTAGCGCCCAAGATGGCATCTCTCAGGGCACCGAGGCCTAACAATCGCACCATCCCTGCCGTTGCCTAATCCCACTCCAATCAGGCTGTGGACTTGATTTGTTTCATCCACTCTTGGAAACAAATCGGAGGCTCGGCGGGGATGCAAAGCATGTTCGGCCTGCCCTCGAGTGACCCCTGGGAGGTCTTCCGTGGCGGATGAGGTTATTTCGGTCCGAATTCAAACACACAAAGGGCACCGCTTAGCCTCGGACTGCGTCGGAATTGGCTCATTGCGAAACCAAAGGAGGAGGACGGAGGACGGCTTTCAGTCCCACCTTTTGTCTGGGGATGATGGGAGCTGCACTCCAACGCCTTGGGGAAGCGACTCTCCGAGTTGGCTCATTACTAAAGCAAAGAAGGAAGGGTGGCAGGATGGCAGGAGAGGAAACTCGGGGTGCTTTCCGAGCTGCCTCTCTTAGGGCCAGGACTACAGCTCCCATCTGGGAATGATGGGCATTGAAGTCCCAGGTATACCAAGGGCATACCAAGGGTGTAGGGTAGAGTCTCTCAGAATAAAATATGCTCAGTACTAAGGCAAGGAAGGAAGGAAGAAAAGAAGGAAAGGAGGGAGGAGGGAGGGAGAAGGGAAGGAAAGGAAAGAAAGGAAGGAAGGAAGGAAGGAAAGGAGGAAGGAGGAAGGGAAAAGAAGGAAGAAAAGAGGAGGAGGAAGAAAGAAAGAAAGAAAGAAAGAAAGAAAGAAAGAAAGAAGGAAGGGTGGAAGGAGGAAAGAAGGAAGGAAGGGAAGGGAGGAGGAAGAGAAGGAAGGAAGGAAGGAAGGAAGGAAGGAAGGAAGGAAGGAAGGAAGGAAGGAAGGAAGGAAGGAAGGAAGAAAGGAAGAAGAAAAGGAAGGAAAGGAGAAAGGAAGGAAGGAAGGGCGGAAGGAAGGAAGGAAGGGCGGAAGGAAGGAAAGAAGGAAGGAAGGAAGCTTGCTTTCAGAAGGCCTTCCCTGGGGACTACAGATCCCATCACTTGTCTGGGGATGACGAGCATTGAACCCCTCCAATGCTTCCTCTTTCACATCCCCGCCCCCCAAACCCAAACCTTTCCCTCCCTCTTTGGTGGACACATTCTGGCTTCCGGTAGCCCCATTTCCACTTGGACCACAACTCCCATAGTCTCCCTTTGGGTGTTGGACACCCAAGACCATCATTTCCAGAAGTCAGGGGGTGATAGGCATTGCAATACTAATGCGGCCGTGAAAAAGCAAGGCTTTGTGACTGAAATGACTCTCCTTGCCTTTGCTCTTCAGAAGGAACAAAAGCCAAATACAACACAAAGATCGCCTTGAGGTTTCGTGCACATCGAATGGGGGGAAAGCTCCAGGGAGAGTAGCATTAAGGTCCTATTTTATTAACAATTAGTATTATTAATTGCATGACTCATCATCATCATCATCATCGTCATCATCATCATCATCATCATTGCTGCTACCACTTGCAGGAAGGTAGAACTGAGGGAAGAGTGAGGAAGAGATGGAGAGAAAGAATGTGAGAGGAAGTGGAAATGGAAAGTGAAATGGAAATGGAAAGAGAGAGAAAAGGAGAGAGAGAAAGGGAAGGAGGGAGAAAGAAAAAGTGAAAGAAGAGAAAGAAAGAGAGGGGGGGAGAGATGGAGAGAGGAAAGGGAAAAAGAGAGAGTAAAAAGAGAACAAGAAAGAGATGGAGAGAGGAAGAAAGAGAGAAAGAGAAAGGAAGATAAAAGAGAGATAGAGAAAGGGGAGAGAGAGATGGAGAGGGAAAGAAAAAGATAAAGACAGAGAGACAAATGAAATAAAGAAAGAGATGGAGATAAAGGAGAAAGAGATTGAGATCCGGAGAGAGGGAGAAAGAGGGAAAGAGAAAGATGAAGAGAGATAGAAAGAGAAAGGGGAGAGAGAGATGGTGAGAGGAAAAGGAAAAGAGAAAAAGAGAGAATATAAAGAGATAAAGAAAGAGATGGAGATACACGTAGAGAGAGAGAGGGAGAGAGAGGGAAAGAGAAAGAAAGATGAAGAGAGAGATAGAAAGAGAAAGGAGAAAGAGAGATGGAGAGAGCGAAAGAAAATGAGAAAGAGATGGAGATACGGAGAGAGGGAGAAAGGAAGAGAGATGAAAGAGAAAGAGGAGAGAGATGGAGAGAGGAGAAGAGACAGAGGTAAAGAGATAAAGAAAGAGATGGAGATAAAGGATGAAGAGATAAGGAAAGAGAGAGTGGAGAAAGAGGGAGAGAGAGAAAGGAAGAGAGGGATGGAGGGAGTGAAAGGGAGGGATTGAGCCAGTCTTGGCACCCAACGAGAGGCCGAGGTTGGCACGCCAAAGCAAAAGACATCACGACCGTTTCCTTCCTGTCTCATCTGGCAACAAAAATAACTCCACTGTTCACGAGGGAAGAGGAGAAAGCGAGAGAGAGAGAGAGAGAGAACACACAATATGAATGAATCGACAAAAGCAGCGGCGTCTGCTACCGCCACAACCCAAAGTTGGCACGAGTTCAAGGAAACACCCAGGTATCCTCCGAAAAGAAAAATTCATAATTCCGAAAAGAAGCCCAATTTTTTTTCTGGGGAGGGCAATGTATTCACACGGTATTTCGGAGCGAGGCCGGTTTCGCTCCGGATCCAGCTCGGTTTCGCTCCGGGCGCATGTACACGACAGGAGTGCCACCACACAAAGAGAAACACACACTCACCCAGCACGGCATGGAAAAGTTTGCTGACTAGGAAGCAGAGCAGCAGGAGGCGTTTCATCGTTGGTGTCTTGGCCCCGGGAAGAGAAAATCCATCTGGTTCCCAAAAAGGCGCTTGCCGCGTTTAGGCATCGGGCATCATCGACAACGGCAGCGGAGACATGGGCAGAGACGGGGCCAAGAGGGAGAGGGCTGAGGAAGAAGAAGAGGAGGAGGAGAAGGAGGAGATGGAGCATCGGAGGCATCCAGCAGGCAAAGCAGGGAGCATCGTGTGTTCGGAGTCCAGAAGAGGAGGAGAAAAGGGGGCCAAAGGGAGGGATGTGGGGAGACGGGGGGACAGGAAGAAAGGATGGATGCCTGGGTGGGAAGGAAGGAATCAAACGGGGGAGGCTGCGTCCAGTCCTCAAAGATGCTGTGAGCGGTACCCAGAGGATAAATCAAAGGATGCTGAGATCAGTCCACAAAGGATGCCGAGACCGGTATCAGAAAGATGCCGAAGCAAGTTCAGAATTTATTCCGAGATGGGTATCCACACGATGCTGTGAGTGATACCCAAAGGATGCCGAACTCAGTCCCAAAAGGATGCTGTGAGTGTACCCGGAGGATGCTGAGGTCAGTCCCCAAAGGATGCTGAGTGGAACCCGAAGGATGCTGAACTCAGTACCCAAATGATGCTGTGAGTGGTACCCGAAGGATGCTGAGGTCAGTCCCAAAAGGATGCTGTGAGTGGTACCCGAAAGACGTTGAGATCTGTCCCCAAAGGATGCTGAGACGGGTATCCACAGGATACTGAGCTCCAAGGATGTTGAACTCAGTCCCCAAAGGATGCTGTGAGTGGTACCCAAAGGATGCCGAACTCAGTACCAAAATGATGTTGGGAGTGGTACCCGAAGGATGCCGAACTCAGTCCCAAAAGGATGCTGTGAGAGTACCCGGAGGATGCCGAACTCAGTCCCAAAAGGATGCTGTAAGTGGTACCCGAAGGATGCCGAACTCAGTCCCAAAAGGATGCTGTGAGTGGTACCCAAAGGATGCTGAACTCAGTCCCCAAAGGATGCTGTGGGTGGTACCCGAAGGATGCCGAACTCAGGACCAAAATGATGCTGTGAGTGGTACCCGAAGGATGCCGAACTCAGTACCAAAATGATTCTGTGAGTTGTACCCGAAGGATGCTGAACTCAGTCCCCAAAGGATGCTGTGAGTGGTACCCAAAAGACACTGAGATCTGTCCCCAAAGGATGCTGAGACGGGTATCCACAGGATGTTGAGCTCGAAGGATGCCGAACTCAGTCCCCAAAGGATGCTGTGAATGGTACCCGAGGGATGCAGTCAGTGGTACCCAGAGGCTGCTGAAAGGGTTAACCAAAGGCTGCTGCGATCAGTCCACAAAGGATGATGAGACTGGTACCGGAAGGATGCCGAAGCAAGTTCCGAAATAATGCCGAGATGGGTATCCACAGGATGCTGAGCTCAGTCCTCAAAGGATGCTGTGAGTGGTACCCAAAGGATGTTGAGATTCGTACTTGAAAGATGCAGACAACCTCTCTCAAAGGATACCAAGGTCTGTCCCCAAAGATTGCGGAGAGTGGCACCCAAAGGGATGCTCAGGGATGACGATGATGCCAAACGTGGTACCCAAGGGATGCCGAGATCAACCCTCAACGGATGCTGTGAACGTGCCGAGATCGGTCCCCAAAGGATGCTCCGAGTGGTACCCAAAGGATGCCGAGACCGGATTCCGATGTGTGCTGAGCTCGGTGTCAGAAGGAATGGTACTGAAAAGAGCTGTCCCTGAAGAATATTGATATCCGAGGATGTCCGAGTCCACGATCGAATCGCGAAGATGCCGAGAGTAATCCCCAAAGGATGCTCGGAGTGGGATGCTGCCCTTTGTGGCACCTGTTCCTCGGTCCTCTCTTCTCTCCTCCCGGAGTTTGGAAGGCGGCCGTCAACTCATCCTCCCGTCCTCTCTTCCTTCGCCTCCTCCTGGCTTTGTCTCTTCTTCCTCCCTCTCTTTCTTTCTCCCCTTCTCCCCCCCTCGAGCTGGTGCCTGTATTATACGGACTTTCCTTTAATCCACCCTGGGCTGCTCTGCTCTCGTCCTTTAAGCCGGATTTATTGCAGCAACAGAGAGACAGAGAGAGAAGAGAGGGAGAGGGGAGGAAGCAGTCCCTCTCTTCTCCTCTGCTCCACCTCCCCTCCGCAGCACAGGCTCTGCTCACACACACACTCTCTCTCACACACACATAGACTGGCAGGCTGTTGGTGGCTTAACTCTTCATGAACCAGACAAGAGAGATGCTACCATCTGAGCCGCCGGAGGGAGGAGCCACCAGGAGGGATCCAGGGAGGAGCTTCTCCTCCTTCAGCTTC